CAGAGTGATTATTAGGAGACCAGGTATCCACTGACATCTCGGTCTTACCAGATTGGCCTCAAACCACGTATTCCGATTTCTTTTATCCAAGAGGACAAACTATTCATCTGCTAAGCTACTGGGGTTTGGTCAGGTTTTCCTTTAGAGTGGGGAGGTCTGTCACTCATAGCTGAACATAATCCTAGCAAATACAGGTCTGAAGTACTTTCCCTGGGTTCCAACAATGGGAAAGGAGCCTTCCATGCTAGCTCACACAGAAGCCCTACTCAACCCTCTAGGGTAGGTTCTATTGCTAACCCCATTAAAGTTTTTTATTTTTATTTATTTAGTTTTTGCAGACCTGGAGATGGAGCCCATAGCCTTGCGCATGCTAGGCATGTGCTCTACCACCGAGCTGCATCCCCAGCTATTAGCCCCATTGTTTTTTGGTTTGGTTTTTTGGCAGTACTAGAATCTGGACTCAGGCTTACTAGGCAAGCAATGCACCACCTGAGTCACACCCTCATCCTTTACCCTTTAGTTTGTTTCCAGACAGGGCCTTCTGCTTTTGCCATGCTGACCTCAGACTGTGACTCTCCTGCTGCCTCCCAAGTAGCTGGGTTGACAGATGTGTATCACCATCCCCTGCCCTAGCCCCCATTATTTTTTACATATAGCAGTAATTTATTCTGAAATATTTAGTTCTGTTAAACATGATTCATGTTCTGTTAATAAAATAGCAACCACATTGCCTCAAATACCAGAATATACAACAGTTATAGCACAGTAAAAATTCTACCTACTTTAAAATAAAATCTAGTTCAGGTAAAATAGTTTCATTCAATATTTTACAGTTACAGTTGTTGTTTTTTTTTAGCACAAGATAGTGTGACTTGTTACACTGTAGCTATCTCTATACACATCATGTGACCACAGAGTTGTTAATCATTACTTCTGAGCTTGAACCATCAGTTGCACTCATGCAGTAAAGCAAAGCAGGCTGTGTAAAATTATTCATCAGGAACCATATAACTGAATTTTATAGCCACACGATTAACTATGCTGTTAGGTGGATTCACAAGGACTAAAACTTTTTGCTTAAATACCAACTTTTCCCTGATATCAGTTTAGTTAGTTTACAACCTGGAAATGATAACAGCAATATATCGTATCTTCTATCTGTAATGTTCATCACTTTAAGTCAAGTGATAATTATATATATTATACAACTATACTTGGCTTTATCACTTTTCCCTAACTATAAAGAGTGCCTCCCAGGGAAGGGGGGATAAATGACCCAAACATTGTATGCACATATGAATAAAAGAAAAAAAAAAAAAAAGAGTGCCTCCCAAAATATGACCAGTGAAGACAAACTATCAAATATCCTAGCCCCATTTTTTCACACAATGTAGAAACTGAGGCAAAAGCATCACTGTCTTTATACACAAGTCCATCAGATCCCAAAGTCCCTGTTTGTTTAGTCCAAGCAGGGACAGGGAGTCCCTGCATGCAGGAGTGGCCTGGCCTAGACCAAGGCTATGGAGAGAGGACAGAGAACAGAATGAGGAGACAGCATGGTCAGGAAGGGCCATACGTGCTCCTGTGGACAGTGGGAGCCCAGGGAAGTTTTGGGGCTGGGTGAAGACACAACCTTTACTCAGAGAAGCTACATGTAGTGTTCTCATGACTAGAAAAGCGGGAGTGGGCTGCCCATCTTTGTTTTCTCCATACAGATCTCTTGCCTAGTGGGTCTGCTATTTTAGACACAGTGAGACCTCCTGGGGACTGGCACCAACAGGAGTGGCAGACAGCAGAGGGCCTGTCTGCCTGACCCTCTTCTCTTTTCTAACCTGACCCCTTCCCTGCTCTGTATATGCAGCCTAGGAGGCACAGGCTCTACTCTACTCCTTGGTTCCTGGGGGTAAGCATGTAGCCCAGGACTGGCCAATCAATCACAGAGACTGTTTCAGGAGAGGGACTGAGACCAAAGCTCAGCCCTGGGCCTTCTGCTGGAACATGAGGGGAGGGACAATTCTCTTAAATGGAAATGATAGTAACTGTGAAGCTGCTAGGCTCATAATAACTAATAATGGCTGGCATTTATGGAGTGCTGGCTAAATGCCATTTCACTGTTTCTAAGGATCATTACAAATGCCACCATCAATCAACACAGCAATCTCCTGAGGCAGGTGCAGAAAAGAAAACAGAAGTACTGAGGTTAAGTAGCTTTCCCATGGCCACAGAGCTAGAGCAGAACTGGCTCCTAAGCCTGTACCCTGAGCTCTCTCTCTGCTCCCTCTCCAGGAGCCTGGAGCTGCCAGAAACCACTGCCACTCAAAAACAAAGGAGAGGCCAGTATTCCTAGCTACTTGGTGGGATGAGATCGGGAGGACTGTGGTTTGAGGTCAGCTTAGGCAAATAGTTCATGAGACCTCATCTCCTAAATAACCAGAGCAAAAAGGACTGGAGGTGTTGCTCAAGCAACAGAGTGCCTGCTTTGCAAGTGTGAAGCCCTAGTCTCTCCCAAAAAACAAACAATACAAAATGAAGGGGCCAAGGCACCAAATATTAGACAAGCTACATAGAGAGAAACAAGTCTGATGACATTTTAAGCCCCCTGGAACCAGCTGTGCTACCAAAAGGGCCTGTTGATTGTAAGTCAGTAATTTTCCTCTTTGGACACTGATCAATAAGGTCTTTGTCCTGATACTAAGACTTCTGAGGATCACAGCACATTTGATGTGGCTGTGGGTGGTTCCTGTAGGAAGCACGGTGGGTCCACCCTGCTTCTAAGGATGGGGAGCTCCTGGGCCTTCTCTCCCTACCTCCCACTGTCCTCTCCCAGCACAGGGTACCCAGCCAGGCACACAGCAGGTGTTTTTAGTGACTGGGTCCAGCCTATGTCCTTGTGTTGAACCACTCCCACATTCTTCTTCTAGAGTCCCAGAAGAACTCTCAGGACCCCCACAAAGGCTCTCCATCACTCTTTTCTCCTTGGTGCTGTCCTTTTTTTTTTTGTGGGTCTGTGGGTTTGCAAGAGCTTCGTGCTTGCAAAGCAGGTGTTTTAACACTCGAGCCACACCTCCAATTCTGGGACTATCCTTTAACCCAAGCACAGGTAAGGGACCTGAGGTAACTTTGACGCCCCTACCCCCACCAGCCTGTCCCCACACACCTGCCGCTGGGACTCATAGAGGATGCGGTCCATAGTGTTGAGCAGCGTCATGCTCCTGTAGAACTTCAGCACTTCCTCCTGGGACAGCTGCAGACAGACAGATAGGAAAAGTTTGTACCAAGTGGAGACAGCCAAGGGACATGGCATGGGAACATGGGCGTGGGGAGCAGCCTCACGTGGGGGTCCTCGCTGGGGTTGATGATTTGGCCCTGGCGGTCCATGACGCGGTAGATGGGGATTCCTGAGATGACATTGGGCTGGATGAACTCGAGCTTTTCCACGAACTCGGCCGAGGCCCCTGGGAACTGGGGCTTGTCATCCAGGGATGAGAACTGCTGCTGCTGCCTCTGGGGGTGCTGAGGGGGGAAGGGAAAGGAGGTGTCTGCATCAGAAGCAGCACAGAGGTTCCAGCTGGCTCAACCCTAGTGGCCTGCAGGACAGACTGGTGAGTGAGCTGCCACAGCTCTAGTCCTGGGGCCTCGTGCACAAGGTCTGAATGCTGCTCCACCATGATCTTTTTTTTTTTTTTTGGTCATGCTGGGACTTGAACCCAGGGTCAAGCGCTCTACCACTGAACTACCGCCCCAGCCATTTGGTTTTTGTGGAGACAGGGTCTCACTGCTACCTTTTATCTGGGCTGGCCTCAAACTCAAGATCCTCCTGACTCCCAGATAGCTGGGATTATAGGCATATGACACCATGCCTGGCCTCTAGCACATTGTTGTTGTGACACTTTGGGCAAATTGCTACAATGCTGTGTATCAGTTTCCTCATCTGTAAAATTGGGATGAAAATGATAATGCCTAGCAGTAGCAGAGTATGTACTTATCTGCACAAGGCCCTGGGTTTGAGCCAAGCACTAAAACACAAAAATAATAGTAACATCTACACCACAGAGCTGTTGTAAAGATTAAATAACTCAATAAAAAGGTAGGCAACTCAAGAATTAGTAGTTATTACTATTCTCATTATTTCAGGCCAAACTCTTTATCCTAACATCTGAGGTCTCCCCAGTCTAGCCACAAACACCGTCTGTCTCCCATTGCTATAGCAGGCACAGACTCGCCCCTTAGGTTTCTGAGTTTTTTGTTTTGTTCTCTGCAGCACTGGGTTTTGAACCCAGGGCCTCACGCTTGCTACCAGGCACTCTGACACTTGAGCTACTCTGCCAGCCTTTTTTGTGTTGGGTGTTTCAGAAATAGGTTCTATTTACCTGGGCTAGCCTCAAACTGAAATCCTCTTATCTGCCTCCCAAGTAGCTAGAATTACAGGCACGAACCACTGGCACCTGTTTTGTGTTCAGTATTTTGCCCAGGCTGGTCTCAAACTGTGATCCTCCTGATCTTTACCTCCTGAACACTAAGGATTATTGTCATGAGCCACAAGCACTTGGCTTTTTTTCCCCCCTCAGTGTTTTGAGACAGGGTCTCCCTAGGTAGCCTAGGCTGACTTGGAACTTGCAGTTCATTCTTCCTGCTTCAGCCTCCTGACTACTGGGATTAGCAGAGTATGCCACCACACCCAACCAAGACTGAGTTCTTAAGAGCCAGACTGCCCAGGTTCAAATCTCTCTCTGAATGACAAGGCAAAGTGACTTCCTGTGACTTCTCCATGTGTCCTCTTATCTACAGAATAGAAAACATGTCATGAAAATATTAATGAGAGTTAAAGGAGATCACACATGTAAAATTCTAGCAGGATAGCTACAAGTCATACAGAAAGTATATAAAACGATGTTGGCTAGGTTGACTTCTAGCACACCTCTGCCCTTCTCTTCTCTCCCATCACCTGGTAAACCACTCCACACGCTTCAATGCCCTCTCAATGCCAAGTCCAGCTCCCACAGTAAGCCCAGACTAAACCACTCAACAAATATTTGAGCATCTGCTTCATTCCCAGCCCTGGACAGAGTTCTGGGAACCACAACACCTGTCCTCACTGTCTAGCGAGGACACCAGATGCTGAGCAGGCAAAGATGAGTGTGATTCCTATCCTCCCACAGCAGCAAGGACAGAGGGTAAGGCTCCTCTGAGAAGGGAGAGCTGAGCCCTACAGGATACAAGCAGTCTAGCGGGGGAGCAATCTGGACAGGGGGAACAGAATATAAAAAGACAAAAAGTGAAGCCAGTGTGTCCTTTGTGGGAACTGGAAAGAGCACAATGGCAAGCAGTGCCAGGGGGCCATCACACCTCCTCAGACCACAAAAATGCATGTAAGTTCTCTCCTTGTACCCCCTTTGGAGTCCTGACTCTCAGAAGTTGCTCTGCTTTTACTGCTCTTTTATAGATTAAACACACACTAAAGTTAGCTAGGAATGCACAAACCCTCCTTTCCCAAGCACTGCCTCATCCCAACTTAAAAGAGAAGGTCACCCCTAGAAGGATGCTTGCCAAAAACGATAGCCACAACAAAAACCAGACACAGGCCACTTTAATCCACACAGAAACTTTGGCCATTTATGTCTTCTTTAGATCCACTGGACTGCAATTGGTGATGACCTATGTGAATGAGATAAGACATCCACAGCCCACATTTCAGAAGAGGCTATTTTTCGATACACTGGACAACTGGGGCACCCACCTGTCTGGGACCCACATAGCTTCTCTTAAAAAATCATAAAAGCAACTCTCCCTTAGAGCAAGGAGGAACACGGTCACTGAAGGAGACACCCTGCTATCTCCCAGCAATGCTAACTTTTTGCTAATAAAACTCTTCCTTTCAGTCTCTCGATTCACTGACTCTGTAGAACAGCAGTGACTCAACCTTGTGTGATTACAATCAGAGGTCAGCCGAAAACCCAGTGTAGTGGAAGGCTAAACACCCAGCAGGAAGGGCCAATTAGAAATGTGCCAGGCTGCACTCTGCACCTTCCACCTAACTACATCCCAGGGCATCTGTGAAGCAGGATTGTTGGCCATTGCCCATGAGAAAAATGAGGCTTATGGAAGTAAAGCAGCCTATATCAGCCACAAGTCTTTTTTAAAAAAAGAATTATTTCCAACTGACAGGGCTGAGAATCAGAACCCCAAACCCAAGCTCCAGCTGGGTATGGTGGGTCACACCTATAATCCTAGAAACCCTAGGAAGCTGAGATCAGGATTGTAGTTCAAGGTCAGCCTAAGTCAAGAGTTCTTAAGACCCCATCTCAAAAATAACCAGATCACTGGGCTGGGCTGTAGCTCAGTGGTAGAGTGCTTGCCTAGCATGTGCAAGGCCCTGGGTTTGATCCCCAGCACGGAGAAAACAAAAATAACAAGATCAAAATGGACTGGAGGTGTGGTTCAAGCAGTAAAGCACATGCTTTGCAAGCATGAAGCCAGTAACCCCAGTTCCACCAAAAAAAACCCCAAAAAACAAAACAAACAAACAAAAAAACCCATACTGAGCAGGGTGGTGCACACCTCTGATCTCAGCTATGTGGGAGGTAATTAGGAGGACCAAGGACCAAGGCTGGCCCCAGGCAAAAAAAACCACGGGACTGGGCTTGTGGAGTGGCTCAAGTGATAGAGTACCTGCCCAGCAAGCATGAAGCCGAGTTCAAACCCCATTTCCATCAAAAAAAAAAAAAAAAGGGCAAAAATAAATGAGGCAGACCCTATCTGTAAAACAACAAAAGTAAAAAGAGCTAGGGGCGTGGCTCAAGCAGTACAGCCATTGCCTAGCAAGGGGAAGGCCTTGAGGTCAACCCAAGTACTACCAAAAATAACAAGAGCCAAACTGCAACTGCCACAGCCACCCAGAGTCCCCACCTCTGTGTCTTTTCTACCCACTGTCTCCAGGCTTTCTCCCAGGTCAGCAGTCGTGGCTTTACTTCAGGGGGAACTAAAGCAGGACCCGGTTCACCACAAGCCGGATCTCACCAGGGGCTCACATGTGCCCCTCTCCCTTCCCCTAGCTGCAGTGGCCAAGCTGCCAAGGTTGCAGCAGGGCAGTGTGTTATGTGTGCAGGATTATCTGCACTTGTGGTTGAGAGGAAATTATACTCCCCACGGCAGGGCAGGTATAGGCCTGGCACCAACGGAGAGATGTGCCCCCTGGGTGCAAAGAGGAAGCAGCCAGTACTCCCAGCACCGTGCTCCTTCTTCTGAGCATGTAGCACAGCTAGACCCTTGCATCCACCTAGAAGTTTCCTTTGTGTTTGTCTTCCACACACGCCACAAGTCCTGGGAAGGCAGAGGTGGCATCCAGGTTGGCTTACACAAGTACTCCATGGAATGGAAGAAAGAGCGGGTTACATTTGGTGGCTCAAGTCAGACTCACCTGGATTCGAATTTCTGAGTTCACTGCATGGCTCTCTACAAACACTGTCTCTGAATTTCCTCACATGTAAAAAGACTGTAGAGAAACCAGGCACTGTTGGCTCACATTTATAATACTAGCTACTTGAGAGACTGAGATCGAGAGGATTGAGGGTCAAGGCCAACCAGGACAGATAGTTCATGAGACCCCATCTCCAAAAATAACTATAGCAAAATGGACTGGAGGTTTGGCTCAAGCAGTAGAGTGCCTGCTTTGCAAGCTCAAAACCCTGAATTCAAATTCCAGTAGCATCAAAAAATAAATAAATAAATAAACAAACAAATAAAAACAACTGCAGATCTGTGCTCAAAGCCCTTAGGATAATGCATATGAAGGGTTCAGCACATGCCTGGATAAAGGAGGTGCTTAAAAACTGGTAGACGAAGCCTAGCATGGTGGTGTATGCCAGCACTCAGGAAGGCAGCCCAGGCAAATAGTTCTTGAGACCCCCATCTCCAAAATAACAAAGCAAAATGGACTGGAGGTGTGGCTCAAGTGGTAGAGCGCCTCTTTGTGAGTGCCTACTTTGCAAACGGGAAGCCCTGAGTTCAAACCCCAGTCCCACACAAAAATAAATAATAATAAAAAAAAAATCTTTAAAAGCCAAGTGTGGTGGTGCTCACCTGTAATCTAGCACTCAGGAAGATGAGACAGAAGGATTCTGAGTTTAAGACGAGCCTGGGCTACAGAGAAAAATCTGTCTCAAAACAACTTCAAAAAAATGTAGGAAAAAAACAAACTTAGAAAGTTTAATAAGTAAGGGAAAAGAGTCAAGCACAATGTTGTACATCTGTAATCCCAGCTACTCAGAAGGCAGACGGAGGAGGATCTCAGTTTGAGGTCACCCTGGCAAAGTCAGCAAGACCCTATCTCAAAAACAAACAAAAAGTGCTGGAGGTATGACTCAAGTGGCAGAGCTTGCTAGTAAGCTCAAGGCCCTGTGTTCAATCCCCAAAACTACAACAACAACAAAAGCAGGGAAGAAGGAAATGATGGACACCTTGGGAATCAGGTGGGGAAAAGCAGAGTGGAGAGGAGAAGGGATGACTGTACCTTA